TAATTCATTTCCTTCTTTCAATCTCAAAAGATAGCTAAATAGTTCAATGGGGGTGGTGCGCTTAAACTTAAACTTGTAAAGCCAAATAGGACAAGATAATAATAATAATAATAATAATAATAATAATAATAATAATAATAATAATAATATATATTTATATTTGTTTTTAAACGGTCGTACACTATAAGGAGAGTCTCGTAATTATTGAACTAAAAGTGGAGCCTTCAAAATTGTGACTTTACTTTGGAATGTTGTATTCAAGATTATATATCATCATTGGAATTAAATAATCGAGGATTAAGAAGTAGGACACGTGAATCCATGTGAAGATGGGTCCTCCAAGCAGCTACTATGCCTCTAGGATACCTTCAACGTTATGGTTAAACATCTTTCTAAAAAGGTTTAGTTAAAGAGAATAATATGATTTTAATACACCGGTTAGTATGTTTCACATACACCTCTTCTTATTAACTAAAATATATTGATATTAAAGCTAATTAACCATTTATTGTATTAACAAGTCTCGTTCATAAAATTTATTATTTTAATGAATTTTAACAAAAATAAAAAACATATTAAGAAATATGTTGCTAACCCCCATTATTTATTAAATAATTAAAATTTTGGTTAGGTTTGCTGAACATGAGACGATGTAGTTTGGTAAAGTATACTTCAATTAGCCGAACAGAGTGTTTAGAATTTAAAGGATAAAAGTTCACAATGGCAAAAATCAAGTTTACAATATTGATACTTATGATTATTACTAATCAAAAAGTAATAATAAATATGTAATTAAGATGAATTATCTCTCATACCCAAGCAATAATCCTTCTCATAATAATAATAATAATAATAATAAATAATAATAATAATAATAATAATAATAAATACTTTAACATTAAAGTATACTGTATTGAAATAATATATAAATATATAATGGATACTTTTTATATTCATATTTGTAGTTTAATTGTACTTTAAATTTACAATATTATGAATATGTAAGCATAGTTACATAGAATAAAAGTGAAAAAAAAGTGAACACGTTTCAATAATGAGGTTAATACTATTTAACTTCTCTTACCCTCCATTAGTATATTAGTACTGAGATCGGGAGTATTTCATTTCATTTACCTTTGGAGTAAATGAATGTCCAAACTTATACACATATATAATTAATAGATATATATATATATATATATATATATATATATATATATATATATATATATATATATATATATATATATTATAAGTATAATTTGATACGTAGAGTTTTAATCATGTTTATGAAAATCTAAAACAGGAATGATGTAAATATTTTTTATAAGGGTTAGAACTTACAAATTATAAATGATAGAATAATATATCAAAATATTAATAAAAAAACTATATTATCTCAAACATATATTTAAATATATGATATTATAACAGTTATATGAAACAATAAATATAATAATAAAATATCTAAAACAACTAAGAAATAATACTAAATGACAAGGAATATTACTTTGCAGCATCGTTCTCCATAAAAAATGTTTCAAAACATACCCCTCCCCTACTTATATTAATAAGGTGATTATTAAAAAAAAACACAACAAACATTAAAAGAAACAACATGATATTTAAGCTAATGTACAAATTTCATAAAACAAACATAGAGATATTATAGATCACTCACTCATTCATAAAAAAAAAAAAACATATCACATATGAAGAATCATACTAAACTTAATTATCCAAATACAAGTATTGATGTTGAATCTCGGGAATCTTTCACTTGTAGTGACTTCTACTGCTATGCAGAACTATTGTCAATAAGTTTCACCCTATCACACATAAGGTTAGCCCATTAATATCTTTGGTCAAGGTAAACTAGACAAGGACTTCCTGTACCTTTCACCACATACCTCATTATACTTTACATGAGCTTGAATGATTATTAGAACAATAAGACAACCTCCAACATATGAACTTTCACATCAATGTGTACATTAATAAAACCACAACTAATCCTCAATGGATTAACACCAACCATTCTCAGAATAACTTCATAAAACCAACAATTAGTTTAACATTATCACAAAATCATAAATTAGACATATCAAAGGAGAACATATAAAATAGAATCAGGCTCTGTTAATTTCGTTCAGTGAGAACGCTTACTCGCTCAATGAATTGTACTTAAAGGACCACTCACCAAAAAACCAGATAACATGCCCAACAAAATTATCACTAGAACTCACAGACTTAAATTCTTCCAAACGTGGCTCAATGAGACTTGTCTTGCCTAGCTATTGCCAAGTTAGTCGGTTATTTGACTTTGGCTTCGCCCAACGAGTATATTCTTGCCTAGCAACAATCGAGTAAGTAGCTCTATGACTTTGGCTTCACCCAATGAGTATATTTTCACCCAGCGACCACAAGGTCAGTAGCAAATCGGTTTAGTTTGGTTCAACTCGACTCGGTTCGATTCGATTCGGTTTGATTTATTTCGATTTGGTTCAATTCAATTCGTTTCGATTCCATTCGGTTTAGTTTAATTCAGCTCGCCTTAGCTCGACTCGTTTTGCTCGGCTCGACTCAGTTTTGTTCGGTTCGACTCAGCTCGATTCGACTCGACCCGGTTCGACTCAACATGTGTAAGATAGATCATAGAGATGTACCATGTCATATGAGTATATTGAGTTTTTGATATGCATTGTTGTCATGAAAACTTATTAAATGTAGTATGACATATGTAAATCTTTGAGTATAATTCAACGCATGGGTTTTCTAGAAGTAGAGTTAAGTTTATGTATGGATGATATTAAATGCTACATGAGAGGTAGCCAATGGATTGAGTTAGATACTTTATTTATGATAGATGTTTAATGAATAAAAATTGTATTGATGAGTATATAAAAGACATATGTGATTATGAAATGTGTATCTTACATGTATGAAAGATTTAAAAGCTCTATCTTCTCTTATTTTGTATGATTGTGTTGTTCATCAACTGTAATGATCGTGTGTTAAATGAGAGTATATGATGTTGGGAGAATTTCAGTAGAAGTTATAGAGAAAAAAATTAAATATAATATATATTTTATTAGATCTTTTATTAATTAAACTATTAACTATTTACTATAGTTTTAATTTGATAAAAAATTTCATTAGGTAGTTAAAGTTGGCTTTAAGAATATTTGTCAAAATTTTCGTGTATAACTTTTCAAAAATTTATTTTAAACTTGTAATTCACGTAATTTTAACTTGTAAAGAATGTAAATTATATTTTCATTTTATTTTTTATCCTAAAAGTCATTTTGGAAAAAAACTTGTTTAAACATATGTTTTTAAACTAACTACTATGAGTCCACATTGGTTGATCAAATAGTGGAAAAGCTTAATTATTGACTACTTTATGCAAAATACTTTTGATTTCTTTGTAAGATGACTGATATAATATTGCCAACAAAAACAAAGGTCAATATCCAACATGTTTCTGTGTCACCCCTAAAATGTCTATCTTCCCATGTTTTTACCGGGTTTTCATATCAAGTAAATGACCCTTAAACAACTAAAGGAGGCATGGACCAAGAAAGAACAGTTATAATAATATTATCATATTTAATTTCTAAATAAGAGACCTTGCACTAGGCACATGAAGACAGCTCTCAATGTTTGAAAGAAGAAAACAGTGTTTTCAATATGTTCAAATATTTTAGTACATTTATCGGGGAAAGAGTCACTCTTTCTGTAGCATCTTAATCGATTCATTATAGGGTATGGCATAAAATTCTCCATTCTGTCAAAACGAGCTTTATCAGTGTCTTTATGGGACTCACCTTAAATCCTATAAACATAACACGTGCGTAGAACAACAGAAAGGTCTGGGACTTGATCAAATCAATGTAAAGAAGAGAGCCATACCCAAACAGAGAGAGTGTCGTCTAGAATAAACATCAAATTATGGAAGATATAGCTCATAGAACTTTAATTCTATGCAACACTTACTTGCACCACCGACAAAAGAGAATGTTAATCTAAGCATTTTCATCATATTTATGCAGATCAATATTGCTGAGTTCTTTCTTTTTTCAACTCACATAAGTCAGTATTTGTTCATCATGCCCTATTTATAACTTATATTACAAAGCCACCTTGATGTGTCTGCATCTAATACAGAGAAGTGTGACCTTAAATTTATACATTGCGTTGAATCCAATAATTGTGTTTTCGCTATTTGTATTTTTAAATTATTTATATTTGAAATTAATATTTGACGATGACTTTTTATTCTTAAAAAATTAATAAAATAACTTGTTTATTATGATGTGATATTAATATTTTTTTTTCTGTATATATTAATATTTAGTGAGCCTTTTTATTTTCCAAATTCATAGAAAAGTTTATTAATTCTTAAAAGTTTAAAAATTAATTACAGCAAGACTAAAACCAAGTTTGATAAAACAAAAATATACGGATCAAAATTAAGTTTAATAAAAAGAATATGAGATACTAGATCATATTTATCCTATTAATAATTATAGGTTTTATCTATCTATCTACATGTAACACGAATCCTTGTTTTGAACAAGATCTAGAAGGCAGAATTTCTAGGACTAGATAATGCTGCCTTCTAGATCTGCGCAGTGGCCCTATCATCTTTGCAATCACACAAGTCAATTACAGATGCAGAAGTCTTAAGTTACAAACCCTAACAGTGATTTCGTTTCCTTCCCATCTCAAACAAAAGGGCAAGAGTGAAAGAAGTTTGAGAAACCATGAACCCATGATTGGAAACACAATTCCATCTCATGATTAGGATCATATCCCCTCCCTTCAAAACTCCAACTTCCTCATATTTTGAGAGTCTAATCATTCCATTCTATCATATATTTAAACCACAGCAATGAAGTGCATCAGTTATAGAATAAAATAATAAAAAAATCAAATAAAAATGCAACCAGGAAATAAAGGGACGAAAGGAAATACCAAATGGAGAAAAAACTAGTAAATTATTCATAAATATTTTAAAAGACGCCCATGATCATCTTTTTTATTCAAAACACAGAAGCAAAAGAGAAAAAAGATGGTTCATAATCCATGTACATCATAAAATAAGCATGCTTGCTTGGTAGCTGGCTAGCTTCTTCTCTCACTGTTCTTCACAACTATATATATATATATATAATTAGTAGTCTAACCTTGCAAACTCTTCCGATTCCTAGCCTTCAAAATACAGCACAAGATGAATACAATAAGCAGGTTAAATTTGATTATTAGATGACTCCATCCATGCCTTCTTCTACCGCGTTTTGCAATTCAGAAAGGTGTCCGTCCATGAGCCCAAGCAAGGGCTTCATGCCCCACTTGCCCCCCTCCTCCATTCGGTGGAAGATTATACAAAGGCAAAGATGATGGATCTGGAATCCCACCCTGCAATTGCCCACCCCCACCGCTTCCAATTCCAAGTGGCGGTGGCGATCCTCCTCCTTGTACCGCGGCGGCGGAACTAGGCCCTTCTTCATCTTCATCAAGTGGAAGTCTCTCATATGTTGCATTAGAAAAAGTTGCAGCAATCACCATCACTGGTCCTGTGGCAACTAGAGGCCCAACAACACTCCCTCCTAGTACTTGGCCCTGGCCTCCAGCAAGATACACTGTGAGTCCTGTGGATCCTGGAGGAGCAGGACCAGGTAAAAAAGTCCCAGTGAGGGACAAAATCTCAAACCTCCCATGAAGTGCCACCACAGCTCCAGGAGCAGCAGGTTGTCTAAGAGTGACATTGGCCACGGAGCCACTCCCACTGAGCACACAAACCCCACGCTGACGCCTTCTTGCGAATTGGGCCACACTTTCGGCAACATCAGCTCCTCCAGTTATCTCCATCACATGACTCCTCAGGGCGTTTGGGCTGTCCCTTGTTACGAAAATTGGCGGTTTTGGCTTGTTTTTGGATCCGGGAGGTCTTCCTCTCGGTCTGCGAGTTCCAACCTCAACTGCACCTTCTCTCGGTTCATCTCTATTGTCTTCATCTTCTTCTATATTATGGCCACCACTGGTTTCATTGATTGCAAGGTCTGTGTGGCGTTTGCTTAGGCCAGGCGAATGGGTTCCTGGGTCAACCCCAGATAACCCTCCCTGACCTGTCCACCAAGGATTTGCCAGAGTTACTGCAAAGATTAATTCAGGTTAAGGTAAAGAAAAGTATATAGCAGTTACTCCACACCCAGAAACCAATCAAGCTCAATTGCCTTTACCAGAAAACGTAAATTTGATCTGTGAGCTACCTTCTTTTGATTGGGATTTTGGTTTTGTCTTCCTAGGTTTCCTTCACTTGTTGTAATTGTAAGAGAAAAAAAATAAAATAAAATAAAAGTCAAACCCACATAGCTCATAAGAACAAAGGGTTTGGCTAGCTGTTTTCCCTGGGAAGACCTGAGATATGATGTTTGGTTGGTCCCATGGATGAGAGGCCAGAAAGAGGGTAAAGGAATGAGAGGTGAGGTGCTTAGAAGAGAGAATTAGATTCAGATACTCAAGAAGAATCAAGTAAAGGGTATTAAAGAGTTTATCAAATAGGTGTTTTCAAGAGGTGGAAAGAAAACGATGAAAGATCAGACGATCATCAATTGTTCTCTCTCTTCTTCTTTTTCTTTAACTTGTTTGATTATTCTTTGGCTATTTATGAAGAAGTGATCTGAGTGGACATGAGACAGAACAGATGCGAAACCTTTCACAGAATCAAGTAAGAGAGCAAATACGATGGCAGAAACAGAAACAGAGAAAAGATGAAGAGAGATCATTAAGAAAACCAAAATAGGGGACAGTACTATCTTAAGAATAAGATATAGAAAGAGAAAGAACACAAAACTTAAACTACTGCTATTTGACAAGAACAAAGGAGAAGAAATGTTTTTGATTTGTTCTCTTTCTTGGCGTGTGCTGTGCTGTTATTAGGGGAGCCAATATATTTTCTCTCTTTATTATTATTACTATCTTTATTTCAAATTTTTTTCCCAATCCTTGCTTGTTGCTTCTAGTATTATATAATGGGAACTAACAATAAGCACTGCTTTTAGAGGGTCTTGGAAATTAGGGTTTTGTGGGGTAATGTGCGTGTAGGCAGGTGTGGGCACGTCGTTTTCTCGGGGCCCGATACATATTAACGTTACCGTAAGAGAGAACAAGTCACAGTGAGAGAAAGGTAATTACAGGAAGAAGAAGAAGCTATATGGCTGAACCTTCCATCTGTTAATACATTTCAACTACTCCAACTTTGGCACTGTCTCCATGCCAAACGAATGTTACTGGCCGGCTGCTTGTGTTGTTATCTTTTTATGTTCATTTGTTCTTTACTTCCATCTCTACAGTAATAATGAGAGTGAAGCATTTTTTTTGTCATAAAATATATATTGCATGTAAATTGTAATCATTTAATGTGTTTTTTTTTATACATATCTTCTTATCATGTTACATGTTATATCATCGAAAGGAAGAGTTACGAAAAACCTTATTTGGTTTAATAGAAGTGGTTTATAATCTTCTTACAACTTCTTAAATTGTACGAATTAAGATTCAGAAATAAGTAATTGAATAAGGTCACATCTTGAGAAAATCCATTATTATAGTGATTTAATTATTTATTTATTATAAATGTGCTCTTTTGGTGGATAATAGTGCCTACTTTGAGGATTTGTCGGCTGGAACATATTGAGGTTTTTGAGTTGATGATATCAAGGCTGAAAAGTAAATTACTATAAAAGAAGACAGATAATTAAGATCGAATGTCGAGGATTTAGCTCATTTTACTATAGAATTTTCAAATTAAAATTGGGTGTCTCTCTTTTAAATGTCTTACTGCACATAGGGGCTAATTACTGCAAAGAAATATACTTACTTGAAAGCGTCTACTCGATTTAAAATCAACTTGAAAATTTTGATATTTATTATTGGTTGTAGTTGCACTGTTAAATTTTTTATTTGAGAAAATTCTTATTTCATTTTCATCCTCTTTTGAAATTTCAGGAAAATCCTTAAAATTAATGGTTGTGGAGGTTGATGAAGAAAAAGGTAGCAGTTTAAAAACTCCAAAATATAGTCAATAATTTTTTTAGCTGCTCAAATTCTAACAGTAAACAAAAGTTTAACAAATTTCCAACTCAATGAAAAAGTGACTATTTAGATTCTAATTTATTTGTGGGTAATGCCAAGAAAAGAATAAGAATGAGATGAGATGTGAACACGAATAAGCAAATTCAAGAAAATGTATATATATTATTTGAATAAAAATATACTTATGTTTTTAACTAAGTGATTTAGATACTAAATTCTAGTGATATAATATAAAGTTTAAGATAAACTATCTTTAAAAAAATATGGTGTCCTCAAGACATTAATTAGTGAAGAAAATGACTATTGGATATTCACTCTTTCTAAATCTATTATCTTTAATTAATTTTCTAAATACAATTTGCAAAGTCAAATTAGGAATACAGGTGTGTCTTTTTACGTTGATGAAATTATAGTACTTGCATATTTCCTTTGTAAATGTTCAGTTAAATCATTATAGTTCTCTCTCTCTATATATATATATATATATATATATATATATATATATATATATATATATATATATATATTTATGGTGTAATTAGAAGTATAAAAACACTAGTTAAAATGTTAATTAAATGTTGAAATTTATTAGAAAGTGAGTTTTGAGCCTAACTCAACCTCATAAAATCAACTTGTAACACCTCACTTATATATTATAAATTGGTCTTATCTCTAGTCGATGTGGGACTTCCAACAAAATTTATTGAAAAAAATTGATGTTTAAAATTTTTAACTTTTAATATCAATGAGTGTTGAAATTATAACTTTTAATAAAATGAGTTGTTTGTCTTGGATATGAAAAAGGCAATTATTAGCATATTTGTGTAACCACATATTTAAAAATAATGATATAATTATTGAATAAAAAGTGTGTAATTGTGTAAGTATAAATCTAAACCACCATAAATATTTTAAAAAATAAGCTATAAAAATCTACATATCATAATATTAATAATTATCAATATCTTTATATTAGAAATGGTATGATGATTTGTTTAATTTATTTATTTTTATATATGTACGGTAAAAGTATGAAAATCTATATTTCAGTTCTAGTTCTCAAGTTTCACCTATATTGCTTGTTTTTAGTTCATCTTATGGTATTAAAATTTAGTTTAATTGTTCAAGTTCTTTAATACAGTGTGGGAGTTACTCAGAAAATATTTTTTAAAAAAAGTACAATAGACTTCGGTTGCCCATGAAACCAAAGCCTAAAGTCAAATAAACTTCAATTGTTTTTTATAAGAGAAATTTATTCCTTTTATTTATTCTTTATTGTGTTGGGCTTCGATTTTAGAGATAACTAAAGCCTAATGTTAAAGTTTATGTTCGGTTCAACTAAAGTTGAAAAATATCTTTTTTTATATTGTCTTGTCTTGATATGTTTTAATTCTGAAACCAATATAATATCGAAAATAATTGATTTCAAAATCTCTCATTGCAACAGTGTAATCTTGAAATTTATTTATAAATAAAGCTAAGAAATGATTATTCAACTTTCATTCATTTTGAATTTGTTAGATTATTTAGATTTTTTTTTATGAAATTTTATGATTATTTACTTACTATAATAGTTTTTGTCTTACAATTTTGAGTTTAAGTAACGAATATTTTCTACATCCAATACAAACACTAAGTATAGACGTAGAGTTTGATCCAATTTAGCAAGACTTTTTTATTTAAATTATGAAGTGAAGTAATATTTTACACTAATTTTTTCCATGCAGGGGACTTAATGAAAGAAAGTTAGAAACTAATGAGAGGAATTTTTTCTTTTAGTTTCTTCCTCTGCTATTAAAACTTCCTTTTTTAGGGACCAATTACATTACGTTGCCTTTTCCGAAAAATTGTTTCTTCTCTTCTCAAATTAAGAAAATTAAAAGTATATACAAACATTTTTTTTTAAAAATAGAGGATTAATTAAAGACATGTAGAGATCAAGAATGTTTAAACCTTTTTTTCTTTCAAATCTTATCCTAACTCATTGCTGATACCATCATTCTAGTTTTTGCAATGTGTTACACAAGTCAATTATATTATCTTTTCTTTATCAATTACTCCAAATAAACTAATACCAGATATCATTATTAGCTTTACCAATTACTTCATTATACATGAGTCTGATGCTGTCCAAAGATGTCATTTTAAAGCATTTTTTGTTCTACCATAATTTTACCATTAACAACTACCAAAATGACAACAAACCCCTCCACACAGNCTTTCATTCATTTTGAATTTGTTAGATTATTTAGATTTTTTTTTATGAAATTTTATGATTATTTACTTACTATAATAGTTTTTGTCTTACAATTTTGAGTTTAAGTAACGAATATTTTCTACATCCAATACAAACACTAAGTATAGACGTAGAGTTTGATCCAATTTAGCAAGACTTTTTTATTTAAATTATGAAGTGAAGTAATATTTTACACTAATTTTTTCCATGCAGGGGACTTAATGAAAGAAAGTTAGAAACTAATGAGAGGAATTTTTTCTTTTAGTTTCTTCCTCTGCTATTAAAACTTCCTTTTTTAGGGACCAATTACATTACGTTGCCTTTTCCGAAAAATTGTTTCTTCTCTTCTCAAATTAAGAAAATTAAAAGTATATACAAACATTTTTTTTTAAAAATAGAGGATTAATTAAAGACATGTAGAGATCAAGAATGTTTAAACCTTTTTTTCTTTCAAATCTTATCCTAACTCATTGCTGATACCATCATTCTAGTTTTTGCAATGTGTTACACAAGTCAATTATATTATCTTTTCTTTATCAATTACTCCAAATAAACTAATACCAGATATCATTATTAGCTTTACCAATTACTTCATTATACATGAGTCTGATGCTGTCCAAAGATGTCATTTTAAAGCATTTTTTGTTCTACCATAATTTTACCATTAACAACTACCAAAATGACAACAAACCCCTCCACACAGGTAAAGAAAATCAACAAAGATACTACCAAAATGACAACAAACCGCTCCATACAGGTAAATAAAATCACAAAGATACGAAAAACATTACTTTGATAATTAATTTTTATTTATCCTTGAAAGGTAAAAGATATTTTATTATTTTTGTTAAAGGAATAATATTTTGCATTGGGATTGGATACTTTTATTTGTTCACAAAAAATTGCGAGCCAAAATGATTTTAATCTTTACTAATCATCACTTGCTAATTCTTTGCTTTGTTTTATGTAGAATGCTAGCACTAAAGTTAGAATTTATGGCTTCATGTTAAAATCTTGTACTACTGTTGGGTAAATAACTTTTCTTTTAAAAAATAACATTTTTAACTCAAAATTTAAAACGAATTGTACCAAAATATATAAAACATAAATTTAGAAGGTGAGAGTAAACAGTATCTAATAACACATGAAATATCGGTAAGAAAAATATTACGAAATATAAAATATTTTAGTTGTAAATTTATAGTTAATATATGTGTACATATACTTATACTTAATGGTATTACTAAGCCGTATAAGTGCTACCAAAAAATATATAAACATAATATTAAGAGTTGATGGATCCAATAATAATATCATAGTTGATGGTTTGTCTTGTTGACCGATTTAAACAAGTATAATAATCTTTATATCGAAAGTTTTTCTGACAAAAAATTTCAGGTAAGCGTGTCCCGTTAAGATGAACGGCGATACAAAAGATTACTTGTGGTTGTGATTAGTTGCGAATGCTTCCACTTGTTGGGGAATGTACCAATGTAGAAGGTACTCACCCTTGAGGAGAAGATTGTTGAGGATCCAAGTGTTAGTCCAAGTCTTACATTGAATAAAATTGAGAAAGTAAAACATTATATAAAAGTAAAATATCAATTAACCCATTATCTTAAGGTTTTGAGAAAATAAAATATTATGTTTATTATTAATGTTATGATTGATTTTAGGATTAGAGTTAGAATTTTGATCAATATGTGGTTAAGGTATGGGTTTAGGGATATGGATAAACTTTTAGTAATAGGGTTAGGGTTGAGTTCATAGATATGTACATGGTTTTAGTTAGGGTTAGGAACATCGTTAGTATAGAATTATGATTATAGTTAAGATTAACATTATTCTTACACTTATTAGTGTTACTTATTGAAAAAAAAAATGTATGAATGTTAATATAAAGGAAAAAATGGATTTAACTAACAGAGGTTTTAAAATTATTCGTTAGTTAAATTCATTTCTAAAATTTATTTCTAAACTTCAAGAAAATATTACCCTCAACAAATGTATGTAATTAAATAATTTTTGAATATTTTTATAATCAAATAATTCAAAAATATATTAAAAAAATGAATTTTTTTATATCAAACGTGTCTATATCAATTTTAAAGTTAATATAAAAAGTTATCACTTCACTGATAATAAACCATTGGAGTAGATAAATATTTATTTAAATAAATCACATCATACTTGATTGTTATATTATTTGAGGAAAATAATCATTCATTACTTGAATTACATAAATTCTAGTTAAGAGATGTAATTTATAACTTGAATGATGAGCAACATCAAACACTTAAGAGATAATAATAATCTAGCTCTAAATATGATTACATCGGTGTCAATCATGTAGTCACCTTATCACTCAAACAACCTAAAATTTAAACTAAATTTCTATTAACATAAAATAATTTTTCTTTTACTTTTAAACATTTATTCTTGAGTATAATAATAATAATTAATTTTAAACAATTCATTCTCTCGTGCAAAACACTCCATTATAGCTATTTAATAAAAAAAATTATAACCACATACATGTTCAAAAGGTTAGACTATTTTTTCTATAATAACAATTCATTCAGAAAATTACAAACCTAAAAACATTAATTATCTTAATTTGAAATATACTTACTCAGATTATATCAATTGATATTTTAGAGCATTAAATTAACCGTAACAATTAAAAAAAACATTAAAAAATGTTAGGAAGTTTAAAACAAACAAATACTTGAAGGACGCATAAAAAACAAGTTGAATTATGTTTACAGAAATTAAAACCTTAAATAAATTAAAAACTAATAAACTGTTTATTATATTATTTTTTTGGTACATAGAATATATTTGATTAAACTGTGGCACTCCATATTACAATAAATCTTTATATTTAAAAGAAGTTCACTTTTTTATATGGATTTCAAAACAAATAGTTAGAATGTGATATTTCTATTGAATAGCTTTGCCAGAGTGACGGAAAGTTTGGATGTTCATTCTCATCCAATTCCTGATATGAAGGACAAACCAGGAAAGAAAATTTGAAATTTCGCATTATCATGAATCATAATGACCCTCGTGAGTCTGACACATTAAACTGGATGCAATATGTTAATTCGACTCTTTAATTAAAATTAAACCTCGGTCAACTTCTAATAACTAAATTATGAATGTAAAACTCTTATTAATTAAAAAATCAAGTACTACTAGTTAAAGTTTATTTATTTTTGTACTTTCGTGCTAAACGTTTAAACCTTATTGGTGACTCATATTGGCCCTGCTGCATTTAGACCCTGGTTTTTTAACACACGATACCTTAGTCAATGGAAATAATATATTTTTTTCTTACGTGATGTTAGTACGGATTAATTAGTATGAACTACAATTACTAATATGGTTGAACATGGTTTTAAAACACTACATTATTTAAAGATATCGTATTGATTTTTATATGCATTTCAACTCTTCAAATCAAAGAGAATAACTCCAAAAAAATGCATTTTCGATTTTGAGAAATGCGGAAAACCAAAACAGATTTACTTAGGAAAAAATTGAGCAAAACAAAACTCGTTTATTAAAATCCTTTTTATTCTATTCGCATCTTTATTTTTATCTTTACACTCCCCCTAATTTTCTTTTTTTCCATATTTTAAAACTGTTAGCTATTATGCACTCCCTATAGTCCTTTTTATTTGTTTTTAAGATTGGTTTACCCAGAAATATAATAAAAAGAAACATTTTAATAAAACTTTTTTTTTGAATTTTTCTTCATTTTGTCTTTCCACCCATATGTCCAAATTAGTTAAAGATTAAAAAGAAAGTAATCAATATGATATTAAGTTTTGCAAAAATACACATACTGAAGGGATTTTTTTCTAAAAATCTTACAATTAAAAGGAAACAAAAAGAGGAACTTCCTTCTTTGTATACGAATCTGACTTAATTAATTAGTTCAACAATAAGTAAATTGTTGGAAATTTTGATGCACTAATTTAATAATAAAAAAATAAAAAACACTCTTCTATTTTCATTACTAACGTTCAGCCCCTTCTTTCATATGATTCTAAAATATTAGGTATATATTTTTTAACATACTATTTTGAACAGAGTCTCTCGCTAGTTAAAATTTATAAGATTTAACTATTTTTTTTAACTTTTAATTAATACTTTTCTAGCAAATTAAATAATTTTTATTTTTCAAAATATTTAAAGATAATTCACATAGTTTAAAAAAATACTAGTATTTATTAAAAATTAAATATTATTATTTTCTTTCCATATTTTAGTTTATTAAACTTAATGTACAAAAATTGAGAAATATTTAGTAAAAGTAAAATATTGTTTTATTTGGACTATTTTTTTCGTTAGTACTTCGATCTTTGATGTATGAAGCTTACAGAGTCTACGTTTTTTATAATTTTTATAATAATTATATATTTGGATTTTTTAACTTCCCTCATTGTTCTTAGTTCTTAAATTTTTCACGTGCAGATCCAAAACACAGGTTTAATGAGCCTGTACTGGAATGTTGACGCAGGCCCAGGTATAAGTTTGAGAGGGACCTTAAGTTTGAAATTTGAAGTTTCACAATTCAAATTTTTTTCACACCCAAACACGCACTTTCTGAATAGATTCTTCAACCGCACAAACAAGTCAATGGGAGCGTGAACAGGAGCGAAAGAAGCTTAGACCTTATAACTTGATCATAAATAATCACAACTAAAAACTACTTAATACAAGATTTGAAGTAAATGTACAAATACATCAACAGTAACCAAAGAAATAAGACATGGATAAATTCAATATCAATCTTAGTCTGTGTCATTCATAACAAAGAAAGCATACTGTAAGCATCAAGTGAACTGCATCAAAATGATATGTGCTGTAAATGCTCATCATATTGAGGATTTCAATATTCAGAATCTATTCAACTGGGAAAAGCGCCACATCACAATTGCCAGTCCATGCAATCTTCAAAATCAAAACTACTTGCACAACCCAACAAGGCGTTTTGTTGTTGCTCATAACGACATATGTAATTGAGTCCCATGAGAAGTTGGCACATAGCTTCCTCTGTTTTGTCCTTATCAGCGAAATACAATGTCTGGAATAGCAGCACATATGTTCTACTAACAATTTGGTGTTGCTCAATGTTCCTCTCACTTTGCCACCTGATCATATTATGGGCCAGTGGAGCAAGCCACTTGAGTATCCCATCTAGAGTTAACTTCCAGTCATGAGCTAGAGGAGCATCATATATGGCCAAGTTCTTCACATAGGTCTTTAGTTTGCCTTTCAGAGACAACCTTAAGCTCGATGGTAGCATCTGATATAGATCATTCCTAGCTTCATCACCAACTAAATGTGGATACTTTAGGAACTTCTCTATCACGGTTATGACATTGGCATAGTGCAATGCTAGACCACAGCCTCCAAGTGTAGAAGGAGGAGCATAAAGTGCCAATCTACTGTGGGGACCAAAGGTTGAGAAACTTAGATCTCCAGTGATAGGGACGCTACTACGAACGTGATTCAGATCACCAGAATGGTACAACTGCTCCCTTTCCTTGACCTTATGATAGCTTGATATGTTATGTTGGTCCTCACTATCAACAACATAATCATCATTGTCATCATCAAATTTCGAAATCGAGCTGCTTAAACTTAAACAATCCATGAAAAGTTTCCCCGGACTTGTTCCACAAGGAAAACCAAAATCTTCAAGTTGAAGATATGGTAATTCACCTCTCCTGATATCGAGTTGAGGCTTGCTAGCAGTTACCCTTGTCCCCACAGTAGTTCTTGCAGTGGAACCCAAACGATAACCATGACCATTTCTCTTGCAATGATTGCTTTTCACCTTCTCAGAACTCAAAGGAGCACCAATCTGGCCAGACATTAGCTTACATTCACTTCGCATGGGTGGTGAATCTCCACTAAGCCCGGGACTAGTAGTATTCTTCCTCCACGTAGAATCACCAAAGATTATGCGGATTCTAGCATAAATGGTACAAACTGTCCTGGCCAATAACTCAACAACCTTATCAAAGTTCTGATTCCAAAGTGAAATCTCCTTTAGATGCCTCACATCTTGCCTCTGCCATGTGAGTTTCTGTTCAAACGCCCTTCTGCTCTCCTCGTGCTGGTTATGCTGAAACTTCTTTACTGCTTGCTCCAAATCATTCAAGACCCCCATTTCACTGTACAAACTCCTGGTGGCACTAACATACCTATCCATTTTCCTCACCATTCCTTCCATGTGCTTAACTAAGAACCCCAATTCCTTCACATCTATAACCCCGTTAACAATGTCCCCATACACATGTTCAAAACCTTGCACGGCAGGCTCAGAACACTTCCTTCCCAACCTAGAAACCACACTGGCAACACGGTTCAACTCCTCAAGCTTCTCTGCTCGAGCCAGCTCGAGAAGATAACCCTCTTCGGAGGAAACCAGGCTTTGAACACCCGGTGAGATGGAAATCTCGTTCCTGAGTTTCAAAATCTCGGGATGAGACAAGGATCTGTGAAGATGAATGGCTTTAGACATTACGTTTGCTACTTCAAAAGAAAGAATACCAATTACTTCTTTACTGCTACTATCTTGCCTTTTGGGGTTGTGCTTTTTCCTTGCAGAAGGTTCAAGAAGAAGAGTTTGTTTAAGATTGGCACTTACCTGGTTACCCATCTTCACAATCCAAGCTTCGGCGACCATAGCTATGTACCACTTTCACCAAAGACCCTTCATTCAAATCGCGTGACAAGACCCACTGTGGGGAACAAGAATAAGAACAGTTTGTCAAAGCTGCAAACTTTGACGCTGAACAACGGTTTAGGGAACGGAATTGTTGGTGGGGCGGAGAAAGAAAGCAAACAGTGCAATGAGATTGTTTGTGCGTGGCCAAAGAAAAAAAAACACTCGATGAGGGATGGAGGGTAACTTGGAAAAAGAGAAGAGACAGAAAGAGGAGGGAAAGAAGGAATTGAAATAGAAAAGGGTGATGAAGAGGGTAGCGAGGGACCAAAGAGGGAGGTGAATGATTGCTTTGGTTTTGCTTTGCTTGCTATTTCAGATCAGAGCTATCCATTCTTTTTCAAACAAGAAAATAAATTTTGAAAAGTGGAGTCAGAAGTCATGGCTCACAATTTTGAATTGAATCATTCCAACTTTTCTTTTTCTTTTAGTAATATTATTTTGAATTGTTTGCTTTACTAGTAACAATTGCCAGTCTGAGAAAATATTATGAATTTAAAATACAAATTTTATATGACATTGGCAATAAAATACATTAATACGATATAAAATTTAAGGTATTAGGTTACAAAAATTTAAAAATATCTTTTATCTAAAATATATATTCTTATTAATATTAATTAGAATTCAAATTTTATAAGACCTTTTTATTAACATAAAAGTTGTAAAAAAATTAAAATAATGTATCATAATAAAATAAAATATGTAAAGATCTGAAAATTAGTATTTTATAAATGATAGTGATTTTAAATAAGTTACTTGTTTATTTTAATAATAAAAAATTTAATGTGAATAGATTTTTAAATAAACGAGTTTTATTAATATATTATATTTTTTGTCTTCTTTTATAATTTATTACTTTGTGTTTATATATTCAAGTACATAAGGTAGTAGGATTAATCCTCCCAACGGATTATTTTCATTTAATTGATTAGTTTCTCAATTTGAATAAAATTATTTTTTTATTTTTTTTTTGGTCAAATTTATTTTTTTATTGTATTTACCTATGTAGATAAAACATTTTGTGGGTTGAAAACATTTTGTGGGTTGAAAACATTTTGGTATTTAGAATCGTTAAAACTGTCAAATCATGTAAGAAAAACTAACTTTTGCTTATGTATTGGTTTTCAATTGATTTTAGTGTATACGGTGAATTGGTGTTGTTATGATTCAATTTACATGTTTGATACTTTATATATGATGAAATTATATGTTTGAACTCAGTTGTATCATCATGAATGGTTTAAAACAATGAGATTTCTATGACATGCATAGTTGAATGTGAAATTAGGGTTAAATTAATACAATTGATTATTTTGGCTAGATTGAGTGCTTTAACACGAATTTGGTGTGTTTATAACTTGTACGAAGCATTTAATTGGTTTTTGGTACGGTTGGAACTGAAAAATTACAAGATTTTGGTTTTTGTGTTATGCAGATTCACTAGGACAAGGTCTGTGTGTTGACAGCGTTAAAGTAATAAACTTCAATGACTTGGTGATCATTGTGAGAGTATTCTCATTGGATGACACAATAGTTAAAGAACTTAGAGTCATTCTTCCTGCACCTCACCATCCTCGTTCTGCACCTCCAAAAAAAATTATAATTCCAAAGTGTGTCCTTGTCAGTCAACGAAGAGAGAGAAAAATATTGTGGTTAAAAAGTTTAGTAAAACTTTAAACCCTAAAACTTTAACTCCTCTTCTTCTTCCCTCCGCATCTCACTCCCTGCCGCATCTCACACAGCAGTGAAACCCTACACCTACACCCCCTCCTTCCTCCCTCTTTTTCTCTCCGTCCTTTGTCTCTGCCATCCCACGGTGCTTTGCTCGCGTTCCTCGTTTGTTTTCCTCACAGATATGAGCTGGCGTCCAGGTTAGTACCATCTTGCTGTAATATATTTGTTTGCTGTTATGTGCTGGGTTCGGTTCGTGGGTCGTGTTCGGAGAGCTCGTTGGAGAAAGGATCAGAACCAAGGATAAACGCAGTTCGAACTGCGGTAAGCACAAACCGGAGTTCGATCTGCGGCACACATATAACCGGGGCACACCGGACTTCGATTTGCGGCAAGGAGAACAGAGGCCGGACTTCGATCTGCGGCAAGGAGAACAGAGGCGTTTTGAGACTTAGTTTTTTAATTAAATATCTATCTATTCATATTTCCACGAAAGTCAATTCTAGTTGGTCTTGATCAAATGTTAAGTCGAGTCAAAAATGCGAGTCGAATAACTAGCATTGGAACTGTGTTTTAAACATGTTTACAACTTTTCTTGAAAAGAACAAGTCCTGTTTAGAACGAAAAATATTTGAATCTGTGTTTTACATATATTTGTGCCTCGTCTCTACCCTAACCCCTAGCTTTCCATCGACATTTTAGTTCCGTCTCACCTCATTTCCAAATATTTTTGTAATACCCTAAGTACAAAGATTTGATTAGCTAAATTATAGGAGATTAATTGTTAATTTTTTTTAGAAGAATAATTTGATATCTCGACACATCGGCATCTTACGTTTAAATGAGAAGTTCATGGACGTTTAGACTGTCTAAAAAGAAACTCTAGGTATTCTTTTTGATGAGATTTCCCATATTTATTGGCAGGTAAGAGCGAATATGCGTAATTGCACCATATACATGCCATCAATGATCAGTGGATTTTTTTCGAAAGCAACCCACTTGGAGTCTTTGATCCACGACGTGTTTTGACAATCAGGCATGAAGTTCCCACGATTTGAGCCTCGAGTTCGCCATTTTTGGGAGCGAGTGTTTTCTCTTTACTAGACCAGTATTGTTTCAACAAGGTCCAAGGTTGTAGTTTAGGCGTGAAAAGTAAATGAAGATGAAGACTTTGTCCTCTTATGTATCTAAATAGAAGTTTGGACAAAAAAATTGTCATTATTTTTATCGACAGATTTACCAATAGACAAATTCGTTGATAATAAACAATTTAAATTTTAACGGATTTTATCAATAGATTTTAAGATTTGTAAATACAAATGAATTTTATCATAGATAAAGTCGTCGATAACATCCATTGATAATTAAAATTCGTTGATAAAATTCTTCAGTTTTATTTTTGTTAGTAAAATTTCGTCAGTACAAGAATTTTCGTAGTAGATAAAAGTATAATTTATTATTAAAAATCTCGTATCATTTAGAGATAAAATGAGTTTATAGTACATAAGTGAGTCTAAATATTATCTGACATTAATTTTATAAGATTGAATTAAACTTAAAATCTATTTTAAGATGGCATGAGAGTGATCCAAAGTTTATTTTATCAAAACTTTTTGTTTATTAAACTTTTTATCACTAGCTATTGATCATTGTAAAATTCAAGTCAAATCTCATTGTTCCTGAATCTTACATGATAAATTTATTGATTTTATTATTATCCTAAAGAAATTTATATAAAAAAGTGTGTATTGGCGTGTTTATTTTATGAATTGAATGCAGAACAATTAACGCACTGGGTTTACTTCACAAAGGAAGTAGATATTCTCTGGAGCAGTGTTATCGAACTCGCGAGTTTAACTGGCGTTAAATGTCGAGTTACGAGTTGACACAGTGCCTTTCGAGTTAACTCGTAAGCAAACTCCGCTTTTGTGTAGAATCGGTGGAATCGGTGGTAAGACTCGCTAAACTCGGCTAAAATCCGCGAGTCTGGTTTCCGATTTTGCGAGTTTGGTATCTTTGTTTTCACTATTCCATCTATGCTCACTATTCATCTTTATTCTCGAGCTCTCACATTCGATCTCGTGTTTGATCACGCCCTCCGCCGCACCCTCCTTCATCAGGCTCGCCCTCCGTTGCGCCGTCCATCTCGACGTTCGAACTTACCGTCCGTCGATCTTGCCTTCCGTCGCACCGCCTTCGTGTCTTGTCGTTTCAACTCGCCTTCGTTTCTCTCCCCGCATTCGCGTCGTCCATCCAATCTTGCCATCGATCTCGCCATCGGACCCTTCCGTCGATCCGCCGTCGTACTTCGTTTCTACCTCGCCTCAACCTTGTTTTAATCGTCTTTGAACTTGCGGGTTGTGTAAGTGGTAAACCCTCAAATGGTTTAACTGGCTTGATGTTTTAAGAGAAAGTACTTTACAGAGTAAACTTTACACACTCTGCAGCATATAGTTTAATAATTTATGTTTTACCCAGCATGTACTTTAATAATCTTATGTATGTTCTTGCAAACCATTCAATTTTATTTTTCAAAATAAAATAACACTACAATCAACGGTTGAAAAAATTTGTTCCTGCACATATTTTAAGCTCCCCCTGGGTCATTTTATTTTTTTGTTTGTAGCGAAAAAACTTATTGAATTATATAACTTTGTTATCTTATTTGGAATTAAGATTTTATTTATATTGTTTTTCATGTAAAGTAAACTCTTAACGAGTTTATCGAGTCGAGTTTACGAGTGAGTTTACTAGACGCTCACGAGTTACGTAAACTCTCGAGTTTGATAACCTTGTCTGGGAGGGTGAAATTTGATCTTGCGTGGCTTCCATGTGTTATCCGATGGTGCGATTGTGCTTTTCAGAAGAAGAAAAAAAAATCCTCAATTGAACATAAGAAAGAAGTCTTGGTGTATACTAGAAATCCTAAATAGAAAAAGAAGCTTTTATAAACAATAATTTGGTTTTGGATGCACTTTTTGTCCTTGATTCCTAGCACACAACCATATCTGCATGTCCATCAGGTATTGGTGGATTCAACGTCTTCAAGCTGGGGCCATGTAATAAAGGAAAAATTACTTTTACACCCTTATTTCTTATTTTTTCATTAAAAAAAAGTGTATAAGTGTGTTAACCTATTGCCTTGTTACAAAAATCCTCCAATTTTTTCATCAAAAATTGGTGCACATTTAGACTAATAATTAGTCATTTAAAAAGTTAGTTTTCATTTCATCGGATACGTTCCTTCTGTAACACTCGATGCGACTGCAATCCTACAATATGCAACCTTTACATTAATAAATATATTATATATAAGGCTTTTCTAGACAAACATCATTACTTAACAACTAATAATTTTTTAAGTTATTCATAATTAAACTTACTGCTTAATACCTTATTTTTGTCCCCAGTTTTGCTTGAAAAATATTAATTAGTCCATCCTTTAAAAAAGCGTCATTACGTCCTCACTTATAAATTTGCATCAATGAAATCCCGTTCCGTTAATCCGTACACACTACGTTAATTATTTTCTCTTTCTTCTACTTCTCAATTAACACTGGTTTGTACGGATTTAACGGAATGGATTTTCATGATGCAAATTTTATTAAGTGAGGACGTAATTG